AAGCAATATGCAGTAGGCTGTGGTTCTCCAGCTACCGATTTCTGGTTAAAAATGATGCATAAACGCTGTCGTTTTCGTCCATCTATTTCACATAACAACGTGGTAACGACGAGATCATGCTAAAAATGGGTTTGCCCCTTGATACGGAGCTCCCGGAGCCTGCTACAAAATCATTTTTAGGTCAATTTATACTTAAACTTTCTCTTTCATTCAATAATTTATTCATCGATTTATTTTTCATTTTTTCCCTTTATTTATTCTATTGAAATAATAATAGTGCTTACGTTTGGCCCACCAATTTATCTACAAAAACGACGCATTCATTGTCTACGAATTCAAAATTTAATATTTCGGAACCAACACGGTCAACTAAAATATAGATGTTGGGGCTTTTTGTGCGTGCGTGAGAACTCTTTTATACTCTCAAGTCATGAAAACTAACTAATTTTATCAAAATTGGATTTTATTCAAAACTATTTATGTACAACTTGCGAAGAGCAACATATTTGCCAATCACGTACAAAAACATGCACTTACGTATCCAATTATTAAGAGAGACGGGCAGATACAGGGGGACCATACCAAATTCTCTAATATGAACCAATGTGATAGTCTCTAAAATTATATAAAATTATATACAATAAATTTTATACAATATGGAGATTCTGCACCACCTCAATAATCAGATTATTTACATCACATCAACGTTCTAGAATATGTAAATGGCAAATATCCGGAAAAAAAAAGTTGGAACAAAATTTGATCAAGTCATGATACTCTCATTATGCCATAGAAAATTTACACCATAAATTCTTTTTCAATTGCAGCAGCCATTTCTTCATCTACTGAACCTATAGAATCAAAATCTTTGTCATCCTCGTCATCTTCAAATTCATCCTCGCTTTCCCAACACCCGAACGATTTCTGCAGTCTACTTATAGTATCCTCAGTATCATTTCTCTCGTCATCTTCATCTTTGTACCCATCGTCGTCAGAATCATTCTCATTGTCACCATCCCTGCTACGGCCGACATGACTTGCAGTTTTTCTAGATTTCATTTTTTTCACTTTGTTTTTCCATCCAGCGGGGATATCTCCACTTAGACTATCCTCCGTTTCCTCCCCACTCTCTTCATTGCTGAGGACTCTTTGACGTAGCTTTTGTTCCCTAGTTTCGTCGTCATCATCGCTGCTCTCAAGGTCGGAGTCCTCGAAGGCCTCCTCGTCTACCTCCTTGCCCATGTTATCCCAGTCCTCCTTGGAGAATGTCATGAGAGGGTTGATATCGTCTGAAAACTGGCGTCCTCTTCTGGCCGGTTTCAGTGGCTCCATATCTTCATCCGCGTCCAGTAGCACAGTTTCATCATCATCATCGTCGTCGTCGTCGACGTCATTGGCGTCAATACTGGCTCCTTCATTTCTAGAGTCAGATTTCTGGCGTTTTGGGGGCTTGGAATTTGCTGCTCCAGACTCTGACCGAGCCCCCAAGCTGTCGTCATCTTCGCTCTTGCGTTTCCATCCTTTCTCTGCATTGGCGTGCTGTCGTACTTTCTGAGAAGGAGCAATGTCAGGGTTTGAAGGTGTGGAGTACTTCTCCGACGTCTCCTCATTGAGCGGATACAAGCTCTCGTCTGGCTTTTCCCAGGTTTCATTAGCTGCCCACAACCAATCGGGATTGACGACCAGTACCCTGGATAACCTCTTGGCCTCGTTGACTTTACTGGTCCCTAACCTAGCGGCAACAACGTGGGTGGTCCGATTTTTATCCTCTGCCCCAGTTTCCTTGACTATCTTTGTATGTACGGTAGCCCCCAAAGACCTTGCAACAATGTACGCCCTGCTTTTTTCTAGTGGAATGTTCGTAGGAAAGACACCACTAAATACCAGATTCACTCCTTGCAAGACTGTTCTTTTTTCCGATGGAATTATGTCTTTTAAATTGGGGGGCTCTTTTTGGGTGGTGTTCTTTGCATTTTCCAGAGCCTCATAAAACTTTGTGTGTATTCGTGTCAGTATGTTTTCCAAAGAGTTTAAATATTTTACATCACTGTTGTCATCTTCGTCTTCCCACACTACCTCCTCTTCTTTTGTATCAGAAGACTTATCGTTACTTTCATCAGTCATTGTTTCTGGTGTTTGTATTGACTCAGATGCCTTCATCTCTCCAATGTCACTTTTTCCTCTCGATTCCCCCTCTGCTTGCACCTCCTCTGATTGTTCTGAATCCTTTCTATTTGAACGTTCTACTTTATTATCAGTGTCATTTTTCAAATTATCAGATACTTCCATTGCAGAGGAATCATCAGAATTTTTCCTTGATCTCAAGCGAGGGTCCCGTGATTCCTGGGAAGATTTGACCTCTGTGTCATCTTCTGTGTCCTTGACCTTGTCCTTTTCCTTGGCAGCTGACGCAGCCTCCCTGTCTGACTGTGACCCTGGGGGAGCGTTGATATCTCCTGTACCCTTGAAGAAGCGGTATGGTTTGACGTGGATCAGGTTTGGGGCATAACACCACACATCTTCTCTGTCATCTATGATACAAACCATGCTGTCACCGCACGGAAATAATGACCTAAGGGGGAAAAATCAAGATTTTTAAATTAAAATCTAATTGTGTAAAAATTTAAAGTAGTCACAGCAAACTTGGTTTAGAAGTACAATTACGGAAGAACAGTTATTATCTCATTTTGTCAAGCCAATAGGAAATTCCTGGAACTGCCTTAGTACAGGCTTTAAGTTTGATTATACATATACATGTGTCTCATGCAAAGACTACACAGGTTTAATTTTTATCAAATTAACGGTGGGATGTTCACTCACTTCATGTTAGCAGTCTTAGTTGTGGGGTTGAAACACTCATCTCGAGACAGAATCCTGTGGGAGAAAAACTTTCCCTCGGGGTCCAAGAGTCCTGCAATGGTGTGGGCATACATCCGGGCACCAAAGGTACAGATATGGAGCTCATACAACTTCGAGATGCTCTCCAGGAATTCCTGGGTTCTCGGGCGGAATTTGGTGTGATACCAGAGCTGGACCCCTCCATGGCGCAACTGGAAGTGGTACACACCCTGGATAGATGAAAACAGTGTTAATAAACATATGGAGAATATTGAAGATTACTGAAAAAAATATTGTCAAAACATTAATTCTATCCATAGCATATTTCTAAAAACACTCAAGATAATCAAATCATTAAATTAATTTGAACAGGCTATCACATATCAAATCTGAAACAGGCAAAAAAATTCTTTACTCCACCCTTATAACATGGATGATACTGAAAACTCATTTGTATGAAAAAAAATTCCAACAAATGACAGTTTGATCTCATACCAATACACCTTTAACTCTTACCTTTAAATTGGCTGGAATTTCTTCATTTGTTGTATGAATCAGTGTCTGATCTAGATCTACCAGCAAGACCAGCTTCTTACTTTTAAGAAGCATCCCTTCATCTTCCTTGCCCAATTCCATTGCTTCCTGTGTACAGAATTAAAAGTCTTACAGTAATTATTTACTTACAAAAGTTAAGGCTTCACTAATTCATTATGATGAAAAAAAGTTAATAAATGAATTAATCAAAATAAATCAAGTTCAAAATCAAACAGTATTTTAAGGACTGCAAGGTTGGGAACAGTGTAGAATGAAAAACAGGGATAACTTGCCATCCATGAAATTTCTGTTTTAATACATTTCACATAATCTAATATCTTTCTATGTCACTTTTCAAAATAATAAATAAATAAATAAATAAATAAAAAGAACAAGTAAAAATAATAAACAAATAAAAATAAAATAAAATGAAATAAAATAAATAAATAAACATTATATAAAACTTAAAAGAGGGGATTATCCAAAAAGACAGATAGTCAAAGCCATTCCTGGTCAATAAAGCAGTTCCCACCTCTTGGCTAACCACCAGCTCAGGGATGCTGTGAACCATGGCTACAGATGCAAGTGCTTGCACTTTTCTCTCTCCTGGAACACCGGGAAATCTAAAATTAAAAGAGAGAACAAGATAAGCATTTAAAAATATGATAACAGTGTTGTTAACAATTCATCGTCAGACCAGCCTTTAAGTGCTGAAAGTGAGGTGAAAAGAAATGACTTAGTTAAGATAAAATTAATGTCAAAATTTCGACAGTTTAGATTTTATTGGAAACAATCTGTTAGATATCAAATTAAATGTAGGCAACCATGATGTGATTGCAAACTTAATGCCAAGGAGTTTGATGATTGTAATTTATGGCAGTGCATACAGTTATCATTCCCTTGACAGCATTGTATGTGTTTGCATGCAATAATTATGTTGTGCTTACTCTCTGAGATCTGCTCCACACTCAGCACACATGTCCTTCATCACCACAGAGTGGGTACAGCCTGTCATCATCTCTAACAGGGGTGATCTGTAAAAAAGCAAGATCAAAAACGGAATTAATGTAAAAGAATAATTAAAATATTCAGCTATAAGAAAGTGAAAAAAGAGAAACAAAACGTTTTAAAAAGCCTGGAAAATTGCATTTATACTTCCCACTTCTCTCTTTATTTGCAACTTCATTAGTAACACTGACACAGAACTGAGACGTTGGGGAGGGGCTTAGTTAAAGAGCCGTTACTTAATGCTTGGTGAATCAATATTATTTTTCAATAAATTCAAACAGCAACATCATCCTTCAATAGATATAATGTAAGTTAATTTATTATTATTATTATTTCACGATTATCATAATGTAAGAAAAGTAAATCAGGTGTTTCTTGCAAGGAGTACCTCGGTTGCACGTTGGTCCCTTCAGGGACGACCAACTTTGATACGGTGCCCACCTCTTCTGATTTTAATTTCAGGTCGGCTTTCGATCCATCTTGTCGAAGTATACATAGAACACTTCCATGAGAAATTTTAGTGCCCTCTTTAACTTTCCAGTGGATGACTTTGGCCTCAGAATCTAATGGTAACACCACTTCCTTTGTGGCGGAAGCCATTCTTCCAAGAGTCAGGGCCGCACTGCAAGGTTTTCTCAATTTTCATTGGTTAAGCGGACTTTAGCTTCCTGTGTTTTGAAATCATGGCGCCAGGAGAAAGGTTTAGGTTTGTGATATATTTCACGTAATTTAGTATAATTTAACCCTAAATCAATTGTCTTTGTGAATTTTAGTAACTGATATATCAATAAAAATTTCTTTAGCAAGATCTGGGGTGAACAGAATGGTGATTTCTCTGATATCTAGCTGTTATAAATACAAAATCTTGAATCCGAAGCCGACCTGTCTCTGCAGACAGAGCGCTCATTTACTGTGTATAATTTGATATATATCTTAGCATTTGATAAATAGTCGAGTCGGTACTGTTGCCCCTTGCATGTTAAATTTTGAACAGAAATCATTTTTGTTGCTAGTAAATAGGGTCTTTTGCCAATTTTCCTCAATCAATTGTTGATGTGTCATTTACATTTGGCTAAAAAACATACAGAGGCAGATTTTGTCAAGAATGTCAGAAGTGATAGTGTTAAATGGATCTTACTTCTTTCCACCCCACATCATGCAGGTTCTCTGTGTGAGTACAATGTTCCCACAAAATGCTGGCCTGATGGAAGGAATTTGTCATTGTTTTTTCCAGGTTTTTTTAAAATCATTTTTCTTGTTTTGTTGTATATGCCTTTTTATATATCCAGCAAGCCCAAAAACATTTAAATAGGAACAAAGTATGGCATCTACCCTCACCTGCCTATTTAATCTGACAACATGATAGATTTTAGTTTAAATATATGACACAAGACATTTATATGCATGAAGTGCCTTTTTTCTTGTAACACGACACCATGATAAATGAATGAATAAATGAATACAATATTTGATAATATGACCTTTTTTTCACATTTCAGAATGCTAAACATCATTTGACAACTGATAAAAACATGAGTTCCACTGCAAGTGACATCCCAGGTGTCACCCCACAGTCCCAGATCATAACCTCAGGCAGGGGATCTAGAACAGGGGGGTCACTAGCAGGGCACAGCGTACGCTCAAGAAGGAAACATACCCCTTATATGAAGTCTGCTACATCGAGAAGGTTAGCAGGTAAGTGGGAAGATTCAACACACACAATTCAACAAAAATCCCAATCCTTCTTCTTACCAATGTTAGTTTATTATTTTAATATAAACTTATAGCAGTCTTTGTTCTGAATGCCTGTTATGTTTGGCATGTTTATCTTGATGCCTTCAGATTCCATACAGTTGAGATTGGCATCCACTGTGACCACAGCAGAAGCTGACAAACTGTTTCACTTTATTTTTTAGGTGTAAAGCCACAAGATGATCAAGAAGAACCTCCAGATTTTGAAGGTTAGTTCCCATTTTCTGCTCAGTGTAGATTTATAATGTACATTTGTCAGTTATCTGTTTTTTACACTATAAAAAAAATGTACATAGACCTTTTTGTGCATATTTTTAAAGCAATTCCAACTGAAGTTGATCTGCAGACAAACAGATCCACAGATCAAGTATAACTGACCTACTTGAAAGCTTACTGGAATCCATTCAGTGTCTATTATAAGAGCGCATTCTCAACGAGTTAAGCCAGGCTTTACAAAGCCGGTGACCTAAAAATGGTGGACGTACATGAAAGAAAAACCGCCTAATCTTTTAATAGTCTCTCCGCCTCCCCACACGTCGTCCCTGCGGGGTACAGTAATTAAATCTCGGCTCCGTTCGCCATGCGGAAGCTACCTGAGAAATATTAAGTGCGCATGCTCATCAGTTATACTCGTGGTGAAGAAACCATGGCGGCTGAAGGCGATCGAAGGAAAAAAGCTCTTCTGTTCTATTATCTTTGAAAACAGAGACGAAAAAGGAATAATTTGGCCCGTAGAGCAGCAATGAATCGACTATCTACGGAGATAATATCACCAGAGATATTCACGGAAATATTAATGTTCGGAGCCAAGATTTAATTACTGTACCCCGCAGGGACGACGTGTGGGGAGGCGTGTGAGAGGCGGAGAGACTATTAAAAGATTAGGCGGTTTTTCTTTCATGTACGTCTGCCATTTTTAGGTCACCGGCTTTGTAAAGCCTGGCTTAATTCGTTGAGAATGCGCTCTAAGGGGATTATATAGCAAGCTTTCCAGTGGGTTGGCCATATTTGATATGCGGAACTGTTTGTTGGAGGATCAACTTGTTCTGAATCAGTCCTTTGTGATCACAAAGAGCTGTAAATATCTTTATGCCTGTGCATCAGCAGAGATTAAATATGAAATAGAAATATTTAGACCAGTTATTCTATAATTTGTTAGATTATGTACACTACTTAGATAAATTTACATCAGTAAGTTGCACTGGTTTATTCAAGGAGTACATACTTATAAGATGTTACTTTGTGTAAAATATGATCCCTTTTCTCACTGTGACAGTGATCTCATCAATTTATTTGTTTTCAGGCTTTCTGAAGAAGACATGGCGCCTGTACAAGATGACCCCTATGTACAACTTCAGTTATGATAACAGAACTTTGAGGAGGCATTCTGCAGTGCTATCTGCATTTGTGGAGGCTGTAAGTGCTGATGGAAAAATAAATTTATAATTAAATGTTTTCTTTTACACATATCAGATATGAGCTTTTATTTTATTATTTTTTATTTTTATTAATAATTTATTATTTTTTTGTGCAGGATTGTTGAACTCTGTGGTTTTTATGTGACCTCAGAGTCTATGAACTCCAAAATTTAGGTTAATGTTAATGTTACCAGACAAAGTTCTCTGGGCTTATTAACAATATGGTTAGATATAGCCTTATGGTTAAAAAGTTTAAAATGTGTTTTAAGATAATTGAGATTTTTATATATTTTGTCTCACCAGGAATCTCTGAAAGGGGCAGTGGTCAGTGAGGGAGAGGTGGCGGGGAAGGCTGTGATAAGTGTATATAGAGGACTGAGAACTAATGAAAGTAGGTCTACAATTTGCAGGATAAGTGCAGTCAGCTTATTTAGCTTTTGTTTGATTTTCTAGAAGTCTTTTAACTGTTGCAGATAAAAAAGCTTGCAATCTGTTTTATTAAAAGAAATAATATTTTTGATATTTGAAACTGATTGGTATGTAAGATTTATAAGTTCAAGGCATTTTATGCAAAAAAATCTAACTTTTACATAAGAATGTGCTCAAGGGTGTACATACTCGTATAAAGCTTGAAAACATGTTACTGTTAGAAAATGACATTTCTGTTTAATTGCATAAATGTGGGGTTCAGTCACATATTGTCCTTACATTTAAATGGACGTTTGTTGTTCTGTAGGTGACTCAGAGGCCATACAAATTCTGGTGAAATCTAAACCAAGCACAGGTGAGAATTTCAATATTTTTCATAAACACCATCCATAGTTGCTTTCATGCGGTAGTTGAGTCGATTCAGATGCTGTCACACACAAAAATACTACAGAATTCACTATATTGTGATAGCTGTGACAAGTGGATTGTTGAAAAAATTCATCACATTGCGTTAGCTTTGGCAAGTGAACTGTTCACTCAGCTGGATGTAATGGATGCTCATCTTTAAAGTCATTACTGGATGTAGTATTGTTTTCTCTTCAGGACAAGGGGAAGCCAAAGTGGCTGTCACTGCTGTGTTGTTTGGAGCGGGTGTGAATGAAGATATCCAGAGAAGGCTCCCGTCCTCCTTCACATGGCTACCACTGATGATGGTCAAGGGTCCAGTGGGCATAACCAGCAGTGTCCAGAGTTGGTTGCAGGTAATAGTTGGATTGACTTGAAGGAGATTGCTATGGTTGGGTTACATTTAAAAACAAGAATGATCACTGAAATACTTGCAAATCTGGCTAGGGTTTAATAAGCTCTGGCTGAGAATTAAATGTTGTTTAGAATGTTTAGCTTTTAATTGGATGTAGCATCTGTTAATGTTAAGTTAACTCAGTTCAGTAGAAAATTTGCTAGGTTTGACACATTTTCCTAGGGAGTGGAATGGAGGATTGCCTTAAAACAGGCAGATGCTTAAATATAAGAACATACAATACAATTTTTGTTTCCCAATAAGTGCAATAAGATTGTTTTTGATAGTATTTGATAGTATTTGAAGTATTTGGCTATATAAATTATATGGGTCTGACTTTTGTATAAATGTGTATTTATACTACTCTTTTACCAATATATTGGCATTTTTACAAATGTGATAGAAATTTTTCTATAACTGATAAATATATTTACTGATAATTCATCCCCAATTTATCATCGATATGCTGAAGATTGATTACTTGGCTTAAATGATAAAATACCTGATACAAATTTTAGTGTATTTTGCATTTTTACTCTCCAGAGTAACTTTGACTGCCACATCACCCCAATGGAGTTCACGTCCACTGACCTGTCCTGGATGGTTGCCATGTGGGCAGGGGTGGAGACAGGTATGATTTATTTCCAAGAATGCCCCCAATGATTCTATGAAATTACTAGAGCTATCTTTTTTTTGTTTTTTCCCCCACAAGTATAGACTTAGGAATTATTGAGATTGAATAGGGAACATTGTTAGTCAGCAATATTCCTCAATAGTTTTTGGATAGTTGCAGTGTAACTTTGTCAGACTTTGAGCAGAATACTTGTTAAGATAACTGAAACCTTATCATAAGTCTTCTGAAGAACTGCTATATGTTTTTGTGTTGTATTAGGCCTCCACTCCCCCCATTTATGCCCCCCCCCCTCCATACAGAGCTGTGTACCTTTGGTGCTTGTGTTTTCAGGATTTCTGTAAAATTTGTGCTAATATTTTTTCTTCAGACATCGGCCACAAGCCAGTAGAGTTGCTATACAGAGTGCCACAGGTGGAGGGGTTGTCATCCATAACCTACACAATTAATGCTGGGGATTGTAAGGCACTCTGGGATAGGTAAGGACTGTGTTTGTTTTTCTCTAGAAGTTGTGTGGGAATGGTAGAAATTAGGGTTAAGAGAGTAATTGACACAGAGTTGTACTGAACATTACAGTTACTGTAGTGAGTTCTCTAAGCACAGATTGTGGAAATCATTATCTTCATGAAGCTGTCAGTTATTGGTGAAAATAATATCTTTATTTCTGTTATTTTTCACACAGTGTGCACACAGAGGAGAGAGATCAGTTCACAGTGGAGGAAGTGGAGGTCTTCACCAAAGCTCTTGAATCGCATTTTTATGCACACTTCAATATTTTTCTTGGGGTAAGTTTGTACAGAGGTAGGAATCATATTACGTATTTTTCCCAGCCAAAGCTAAGAAGTATTTAAATGAAAATATTTTTTGATAGTGAAGAAGAAGCCAAGCTTTTAGACACACCACAAAATTAATTTAAAGAAATTATTTTTTCTGTAACATATGATGTATTTGAATTCTTTGGCTAAGATTTTTGTTGAATTGTTATTTATGATCAACCACCATGTTTTAAATAAACAAAAGAAAACTGTATAAAGTGATCCCATTTTCTGTTCAGAAATCTTCTTATTTCTTTATCAAGGAAAAGTTCATTGATCACAATGAAATGTGTATTTTCCTTTTCTGAGATTTAAAAAAAATGTCATAATGGAATAATTATATTTTATAGCACATGCACCTCAGTAGGGCTGGTACTGGCATAGGTCTGGTGTCCATGGACGGGAAGGTGAAGGTAATAAGGTTATACTGTTTTAGAAATCTCACGTATTAAAATTTAGATAAGATTTAGATAGGTTTCATCTGTTACATAACTTTGAAAGTAGTATTCATTAATTTAAGAGATTTCTGTATTTTCTGAGCAGCATAAGGTGAGATAAAAACCCTAAAAAAACTTTTTAATTTAATCATTTTGCCTTTATTCATAAAAGATCAAAATATCTGATTGTGTTGGTGTTCTTCTTGTCATGGATCAAATCGTGTTATTCATTTTATTTCCTGGTGTTTACTTTCAGTTATTTCAAAATGATCATGTGCTGAGAATGCTGTCCCATTTTACCCAGCTGGCAACAGAACAATTGGACCTCAGGTGATCTGTATGAGTGCACAGTACTAGTGCTCGTGTGATGTCATACTAGTGTTTGTATGATGTTCTTGAACCCAAAAATCTAAAAATGATTCCATTCAGTTGGAAATTGACATCAGTGCGAGGTACAGTGAATATCAGAACTGTTGGACCTCAGATGATCTGTATGAGTACACAGTATTTGTGTGATGTTTCTAAACATAAAGAGGGAGAAATACTTTAATTCTTTTGGGAATTGGTACATCTGCCATAGGACCTCGGGTTGAGTATTAAAACACGAATGTGAGGTGATAAAGGGATATTTTCACCACGCTAACACAAATGTGCTAGCTAAGAAAACTTGGCAAACTGTGGCATATAACCTACTGCCATACGTTTAATATTAAGTTGTATATGATGACTAATTTTGTTATTTTATGGTTACTATGATGACGTAAGGTCGTCTACAATGGTAAGGGCCATTCCTAACATTGTCCTCGCAATGGTCTTTTTGTCTTTGTAATTTTTTTTTTGTAATTGGATGTTCCTCCCCAAAAAAGAGAGCGAAAATGAGAAATGATTGCACCTCTTCCTTATTTATTGATCTTGATTAGATTAAATGATCTTCTGACTTACTTGCAATTATGTATATGTATATAATGTCGAATCATGTTAATAGGAGTCGTTTTCAGTCTGTCCAGTATACAGGACTGGTCACTTCATTACTGAAAGCTTTATCATTTTTCATCATATAAAAAAGTGATTTAAATTTGAAAAATTGAGAAGTACTTTGTAGACTGACCTTGGCTTTGCTGCTGGAAATTTTGTCATTTTTACTCAAAGACTGAAAACAAAGAATCTTTTTTTTTCTAAATAAGAAGTATGTATATTTGAGTTACTTTCGAATTTAATTGTGACTTTATTGTGATATGTAAATAAAACCATTTTTGCTATATAACACTTTGCTTGTTAATTCCACCATGAATGTGTAAGCCAAACAAAAACTGAGACTGTAAGCTCCAAGTAACAGCCTTGTTTATCAGAATAATCCATTAGTTAAAATGATTAAAATATGTTTGAGCCAGGAGGCAACAAGGTGATTATTTTTATGTACAGACACAGATGTGTCTGTACATATAGCTATCATCTGCGTCTGTCGTCGCCGTCGCCGTCGTCGCCGTCGCCGTCGTCGCCGTCGCCGTGCACTTTTACCGATAACACGATAAATGGAAAACTGTTTTTTCTTTTGGTATGAAACTTACAGAACTGATGAATATTCATAATACGCAGGTCAAGTTCGAAAATCAGCATGATCGGGTCACTTTTAGGGAATTTATGCTGTTTTTTCACTTTTTTCAGCATATATGCAGCACTGATAACACGATAAGTGAAAAACCATTTTACCTTTTGACTTGAAACTTACAAAACTGATGAATATTCATAATTCGCAGGTCAAGTTCGAAAATCAGCATGATCGGGTCACTNCCTATTTTGCATCTTTATTTTCTGTTTTTTGTCTGTACATTTGACAGCTTTGCTGCCTTGTTTTAAGTGTTGAGATGCCCTGAAAGGGAGCCAAAAGTGCATACGTTTTCTCTTTCTTACTTATTTCTTGCTGACATGCAAGCCTAAGGATCATAAGGTTTTTATTATAACATACACATTTTCGGTATGGGTAGACACGTGGGATTGGGTGGTGTGTCAATAAATATTTAAGCAATACTATAAAACAAATATTTATTTCTTATCAAGATGTTTAAAAAGTTCCAAAATCCAATGCATAGACTCTAACTATAAGCATTTACAAAATTTTTGTCACTGGTACATAATGCCTCTAGTTTAATCCTCGTTGTCTCTCATCATTATATGATCTTGGCAATGTCATAAACTATTCTATAAGGTTACAAGTCACTTAAACTGGAATTTTTACAGTGAAATGAATGCAATGCCATTGTTGCAAATATAGTACGATAATGTTGGGTGGGGCGCATTTTGTTTCTGAAGATGGATTATTTCCTTACAGCTGTAAAAAGTTATACTTTTTCATTCTACTCTGTTTCAAGGAATACTAAACCTTGAAGCACAATTATGTTAACAGTCATGATAAGTTCAATTATATCTCGATGTATTTACAAAATAATGTACATAAATGTTTAAATGCAAATGATAACAACCATGGGATATTTCAAATAGCGGTAATATCAGTTCATGCTATAATAATAATAATAATATTGTGTCATTTTAAACAATATATCTGACTGATAAACATTATAGTAACAGGCCAAATTGACATCAAAATCTAAAGTCTTATGCTATAATATATAATCTTGAATGAACATGATCCTATATATGCCCGCTTATCATGAAGATAGCATTTATGACCTATGATATCTTTAGAAGATCATAAATATGAGGTCATATTGTTACCTTTAGAGGGACTTTGTCATCAGTTCATGCAATTTCAGCCATTAATGACGTTAAAATTTCAGTCTAGGCTTCACTAGTTATTTAGCCATCCTGAAGACAAGGAACTGATAAAACCACCCTTGATGCTTTGAAACGATATTTTCTCTGTGTATATATTTATTATTATATTTTATTTATATATTTTTCTTCTTGAAATAGTAATTTCATTGCAGTTATTGGAACTGTCTTTACAATGTGTTTGAATGCAGACACTTTTTATCAGTTATGCATATTTGCAACTAAGATCACGTCATTTTCTGATTTCAGTATTTTTTTCCATGAGTCTTCATACTGTAAAGATCTTTTAAGCAGTCATTTAGTCTTCCTAAAATAAGGATTGGCTGGTCAGGGCTATCTGACGGAACCACCATATATATCTCGTGCAGAACCACCATACATGTCCCTTCCAGAACCTCCATAGATGGGTTCCCTGGCAGAGCCACCGTAAATGTCTCTGGGATAGTTTATCTGAAAGAATTCAGGGCAGAATTAAGAAACACTAAGAAAGACAGGCATATTTTATGACACTGGCAGATTTATGATTTGAAGAAAAGGATTAGAAACTGTCCACTGTGCCATGACCCCAGATCTACTTAAGTTTATTTATTTTCTTTGGAAGACTGACTTTTACAGGGTTCTTGCAAAAGTTCATTGATAATGAACATAAAAGCGTTAAGAAAGATAAAGTTTAACTTACTGAATGAGCAGTTGCATAACCTATGTGGTCAAATCCCTGAAGAATAGAAAAAGAAGAATTTGAAATGTGAAATTATCTAAAACAAAATGCTTAATGTTATTTGATTATATTATTAGACCAATTCCTTCATTTTACAGGCACATGTAAGAATAATTGTGTGCTGCTTTTGGAAGTCTCAGCACAGATTTGGTGGTTGCATCATAAAATTATTCTTTTTTTTATTTGAGAAGAGAAAAGTATTATGTACTCACGTCATCATCCATTGGTGGCCTGCCATTGGTGCCGTATATCGACCCCTCTCTGGGGTAGTGGGAACCTCCCACAGAACTAGGAGCACCTGTAAGGTGAACGGAAAGCCTCTTGAATCAGATTGCATTTCACACCAGGTGCGACATTCACATATCATAATAACTTTCTGAGCATAGAATAATTTTAATAATAATAATTTTTATCAAATGGACTTACCTGCTCTGGCATATCTGGGTAGATAGGAACTGCTCATTGCTCCAATTGCACTGCCATTGGTGCCACCATTCTCCAGACTGAAACAAAATGCAGACTTGTGTAAAGTACTTACAATTTAAATGTTAGTTATGATTCTGTTTTAAATGTGGCTGAAAGAAAACAGAGATTCAGAGAGGAAGTATTCATATCATATTTTGACTTAAGAAGGAAATGAAAAATGATTGATGCATTGTGTGTAGTATTGGGTGTTAAGAAGGATTGAGAGGGATGTAAAAAAAAAAAAGAACGATTAACTGCAGAGTTTCATGTAGCCTCATATAAATGACCTGTGGAATATGAGGATTACAGTGTAAAGGGAAAATGGAGGCACACTGCCTAGTGGCAACTAATAAAATCATTGTAAGCTGAAAGTGTGGCGAGGTCAATATCAGTGTTTTAAAGCGCAAGCCAAATGATGGAGAAACTTACCTCATTTCTTGCAGCTTGTCAGATTGGGAGCGGTACCTGAATGAAGCAAAAAGGTCAAGGTAATGGTACTGGGGTAGAATTATGGCACAGGAGAGGTATGGTAAAAACCTGAACATTTAGTCAGTCTTGAAAATTTTGTCAGAAGAGATTCTCTGCCAAAGTAATTATTTTCATTTTGAAAATTTCATCAAACTTGAAAATGGGCCACTTGACAATTTAGACAAGTCAGATTCAGACATTTAAAGATATTATTTAATTTTTAAGTGATGGAATTTTCAAGTCTTTACCATAAACACATGATGTTATAACAATAAAATAATAAGCTCCTTATGGGTTTTAAGGATTGAGACATTTTCATCCATACCTGGTATACTAGCAAATAAAGCAAACAGGTGAACTTTGGTAGTTTCAATAAGATTAGTTGTGTATTTCCACAAAACTTTGCTTTAGTAGAATGAAACTAAAATAGGCAGGGTCTTGGGATAAAGCAGTAGCATTTAGCCTTCACAAACACCAGCCCTCTGCTCACAGTCATAGTTCTTACAGTTGTAAAGCAATAGAATAATTGAATTCTGTAGGAGACTTTGCCATCCATCTGAATAAACCATAGATTTTTATTGCCAGATATGTCCCAAATAGGTACCAATTGGACATACAGTCCATACTTATCCAAAAATGCCATTGGCTAATATGCTTACATGAGTTCCCTTCTTCTCTTCATTTTAACCACAACCACCCATGTGATCAGGACCACAAGGACCAGGAAGACAATTCCAGCCACAACCCCAGCTGCAATCAGGGTGGACTTGTCCTCCTGTTGCTGGGCCAGAGGACTCTCTGTTCTCAGCTGGCATCTTGGTCCTGCGTATCCTTCTTGACATCTGAAAAAGGTGTTGATTTTATGAGATATATTCACAGTTTGAATAATATTGGTTCAATCAATATGATGGTATTGCATTTTTTTAAATGTGAATTGTGGACTATGGTGACCAGGCATTTTCTTATTTGACTATTGATAATAGCAAAGAAAAAGGCAGTTATTGCAGCTGAAGATGGAGCAAATAGTAAAGGACCTACATCACTACTTGCATCCAAGCACTTCTAACGGAGCAAATGCCCATTGATAGCCTTTTATATTTTTATAACATGACACAAAGTAGCAAAATTTGTCCATCAGCTCACAAATTACTTGCAAAATATTATTGTACTTACAGGCAAGTTGGTCTCTGGTTCTCCACCTCACATAGTCCATTGATACAGACATTGTTCAAGTCAAACCAGTCACAGTTCACCACCTCTGCAATAATACAATACAATACAATACAATACAATACAA